CATCTGTCTGCAGTCTTGGAACAAAATGGTGGTCGGTAGTTGCTGTAGACCACATTGTCTGTATTTTTAATAAGTGATATTTTTACATTATGACACTGTTCTTCCCCTCATCTTTATTATTATTATTATTATTATTATTATTATGTCTCACAAATCTGTCTTTGAATTAGGAATGTCAGGTTAGTGATGGGGTGGCAGGGCAACCAACATTGCCAATGTTAAATTTGGTTCTAGGATTTTAGGCTCAATTATTATAATTAATTCATTCTCTAATTTTATTTAAGTTAATGACAGTTCATTAATATCTTCTTATGGGTTTAAGAAGTTCAGAGAATGTTGTGATAATAATGTAATCATAATTATGTGCATAAATTATATTAAAGTGAAATGTTTACCTTTATATGAATATTTTTAACAAGTTCAAAACAAAAAAAAATAATTAACATTCAAATGTGAAGAGACCATTTTTCTTTTGTGTAATAGTTGTAAATTTAGCTATTTTTAAGGCTTAAACACTAGTTTTTCTGGTTTAAATTGAACATATTACTCATGATCTTTGTGCTTGCTGATTCCTCAGCATGGGAGCATGGGAGAAGGGAAATGCTTCAAGATTTTATCAATGAAATTAAACATTCTCCAAAGAACTTTGGAACTAAAAGAGTTCCATCCTCTATATTGAGGGACCAGACGCCAGCCTTACTGCATCAGCCTACCTCTCTGTGATGGCAAAGCCAGGGTCCCAGGATGCGTTCCTGGAAGGAGCCTCTCATTGCCCTTGCTGAGTGGACAGTCTGTGTGGCCCCTTCAGCCATCTGGCCACACTGGCTGACTTTTTCAATACTTTAAAATTTAGTAACTAAGTTTATGTACAATGATATGCAGTTAATAATCTGTCTCCTGTCTTGAGTTTTTTTTTTCTTTTTTATTTGTTTTTTAAATATATATTTTATTGATTTTTTTACAGAGAGGAAGGGAGGGGGATAGAGAGTTAGAAACATCGAAGAGAGAGAAACATCGATCAGTTGCCTCCTACACACCTCTTACAGGGGATGTGCCCACAACCAAAGCACATGCCCTTGACCGGAATCGAACCCAGGACCCTTCAGTCTGTAGGCCGACACTCTATCCACTGAGCCAAACCAATTAGGGCTTGGTTTTTCATATAAATATATATATATATATATATATATATATATATATATATATATATAGGCAAGGGGGAGAGAGAGAGAAAAGAGAGAGAGAGAGAGAGAGAGAGAGAGAGAGAGAGAGAGAGAGAGAGAGAGAGAGAGACATCAATGATGAGAGAGAATCATTGATTGATTGGCTGCCTCCTGCACACCCACACTGGGAATGGAGCCCGCAACCTGGGCATATCCTAACTGGGAATTGAACGGGGACCTCTGGTTCTTAGGTTGTTTTGAATTTTCTTTGTTCTATCAGCCATGAAAAACATAAAACTTGTCACCTAAAAGAGATTACCTCATCCTGGTAAATTTCTGTCAAGCACTGGATAGCCCTAAATTCATGTATTTTAGGTCACAATTATTAATGGAATAAATGGAAGACATGCAGTAAAGATATAACAAATAGAATATAAATATTTAGACCACAACAGATATAGTGCATTCTTTATGGCTTCTACAGGATGTAGCTGGTGTTATGCTTTATATTTATTTCTTGCTTTTCTTTCTCTTGCTATAAAACTAACATTCTGGGCAATTTAAATATATTGCACCAGTTTTAATAAACTAGGCTCTCTTAATTCTTTTTCTATTGCCACAGTTAATTTGATCATTGCCAGCCTGTTACTGTTAGAATTGCTATTCAACCAAAAAATGTATTATGATCTGCTCCACACATAAACATTACATTATAATGAGCTAAACATAATTGTGTCTGTATCAGCAATTGTGACAGGAAGCGGCTTCTCTAATGGTGATGACTACCACACCAACGATCATTTTATTGTAAAATTTCCATTGTCTTCTCCTTGCTGTCATATCAATACTCAGAATGTGTCCATCCATTCCTCGGAGATATAGAAGCCAAAAAAATCTAAATTCACTCTCCGATTCCCAGAAAAACCCTAAGTAATTAGAAAGTACAAAAAATGATAGCAGCTAAAGTCCATCCCCCAAGTTGTAACCATTCCCTCACCATCATAACTTGCTTTATGTACTTGTAAGGCAACTTCTGAAAACATCTTAATGGCTTCAGCTATTATGGCTGAAAATACCCGACCATCTCTGCCTTTGCCCAGTGCCTGCTGGGTTATAGGTGCTTGTTGTCATTGCTGAGCTGGTCATCTCTAAGACGGGTGAGCTTTACAGCCTTTCCTAGTGCAGAGAGGGAAGAAGGAGGGAGAAGTTCGCATCACCAAACAGTCCCTTTACCTCTCAGAAATGTCACAGTGTAGGACCCTGCAGAAAGGGGCAAGATTGAAAACACAGCAGTTATAGTTATAAAATCTGCCCATCCTATAAGAAAATTCACCTGTTTTTCTAGCCCTTCTCTCCCTTTGATATCAACACAGCAGCTACTTATTGAGCATTGGCAAGATATCCAGGGACTTAAAAGGGACTGAAATAGCTCCCAGGTCTTAAAGGAGTGAGTTGGATAATAATTTTTAGTACTCAAATATCCACAAGCAAAATCTCTGGAAATCACACTTGGGAAAGTGTGTCTATAGTGGTATTTAGTTTCTGGCACCTACAAAAAACTATATAGAATTTTTTAAAAGCAAAAACTGCTTCAAGAGATCATAGAAAAGAGGTTTTAAACCAAAACAAGCTACGCATTCCACATTACTTCATCATACCTGTCATGCCTATAGAATCTGAAGAACCATCTTTCCCATAATGGGAGTTCCCTTTACCAACATTTAAGCCAACATCCAATTACTCATGGATGCACTTTTGGCAATTGCAAAGGACTTGAATTGCAACCCAACTGGTTCTTGGGTGTTTGTGGCAAGTCAGACTTTCTTAAGTCTGGAATTGCATATACAGGACTCACAGCATCTCCCTACTTTTCAGCTGTTTAAAGAAAAATGTTCCTCTGGTATCTTATCCACACCTGTTCTCAAGAGATAAAAAGGCCTTGATGAAGTTTTGGTAGTTTTACACATATATGGATTCTAGTATCTAATTGCATCAATCCGGGGGGAAAAATGTTTTCTAAGTAAAAAATTATCTCTTGTCTTGTTTTCAACATTGATAGCTTTGACACATCTTGGGTGTAGAGTCCTTACAGGGTTGTAAGTGACAGTTGTGGTCTTTAGAGTAGGGCAGGAGATGGTATATTTGAAAAAAAAAATGTTGCTAGGAGGAGAAAGCCTTAAGTAGAGGTCAGACAGAAAAAGGAAGAAGACCCGGGAGAAGTTGAATGGGTTTTGCAGGCAAGGAAAGTAAATATCGGGAAAAACCATGAAGCATTGCTCATCATTGGAGTTGACTTGTGACTAAGCAATCTGACACTCTTCACAGATAGATGTTTTTTTCTTTTAATAAATGCACCCCTTTGCTTTCCTCTCATTCTCAACTTTTAGTTACCGCTTAGGCCTTTCTTCCTTTGTCTTTTCATCTTCCTGGTTTATGCCTTAGGGTCAGCCTTGTTTAGCCCAACAGCCCAAGGTTTTACCACAAACTGTCCACACAATACAGGTTTTAGAAACTGGGAGTCAACTGAGTAAAGAAACAGTACTTTTCCTGCTGAGTCATATGTGGTTCCTTTCCCTGTCTTTTTCTTAGAAAATGGAAAACTGTAATAAGTGATATATTTTAGATTATGACACTGTTCTTCCTCTCATCTTTATTAGTATTATTATGGCAAGCAAATCTGTCTTTGGATTAGCAATACCAAGATGATGGATTAGGAATTTAATGAGAGTAATCTTTCCTTTCCCCTTTTTTCTTATTGAACTGTCAGATATAATCTTTTAGTTTCTGATACTTGCAGTTTTGGGAAATGAGGACTCACATGGCCAGATGGTAACCTTGGGATGCTATGATAATAAAAACACAGCAGTTGGAGGAGCCCTTGGCTGGCAAAGCTCTGTGGGAAGTATTGTCTCTGGGCAGTGGCCTGGGGTCCTAAGTGGTTTGAAGTTCCTTTGCTATAACTCATCTCTTAAGGAACGCCCCACCCCCACTCTCTCTCTCCATGGCCTGCGCTGTGTCTGCTACTAATTACCCTTGAACTTTGAAGAAACTAAGCCTTCCTTTCTTATTCTCTGTGGTGCTGAGAAGATGTGATAGCACATCTTTTCAAAATAACTTAAGAGAGCTCTCAGTTTCATTGATACACGTTGGTTCCTTATTACTGTATTTGCTTTATTTTTGTTGTTGATATTTTTATTGATTTTTTTAGAGAGAGAGGAAGGGAGAGGGAGAGATAGAGAGAAACATCAATGGGCTACCTCCTGTATGTCCCCCATCGGGGACGGAGCCACAACTTGGACATGTGTCCTGACTGGGAATCGAACCAGCAACCCTTTGGTGCAGGGGACAATGCCCAGCCAACTGAATCACACCAGCCAGGGCCTTAGTAACTACATTTTTCCCCATCAGCTTACACAGACCTTTGTGACTAAGCATCTTGCCACATCCATTTTTTTTTTTATCCAATGGTACCTTTACCAAAAAAATTTATATATCTATATCTATATCTATATCTATATCTATATCTATATCTATATCTATATCTATATCTATATCTATATCTATATCTATATCTATATCTATATCTATATCTATATCTATATCTATATCTATATCTATATCTATGTCTATATCTATGGAGAGAGAGAGAGAGAGAGAGAGAGAGAGAGAGAGAGAGAGAGAGAGAGAGAGAATTTTATGGCAAATCTATAGTTGGAGCCTCTGATGCTACTTCAGCACACATATTTGTAATTAAGTGTTTTCATATATGTCCTAACAAGCTTTGTAACCTGCAGAAGGAAGACAGAAGTGTCTACTAAAGGTTGCGTTTCTCTCTAGGAGACCTTCGAGAAGGCAAGCCTGAGCAGCAGCAGCAGCGGGGCAGCCAGCCTGAAGAGCGAGCTTTCGGAGAGCACGGACCTGCCCCCTGAAGGGCTCCAGGCCCCCTGTGGGAGGGAAGACGACAGGGCCTGTGATGAAATCCTGTCAGATGATACCTTCAACCTGGAAAACATGGAGAAAGGTAATTCTAGTGAAGGGATGGCAAGCACTCCGGCCTTTCTCTCTGTCTCAGGGTTCATTTGTTTCTTCTGTTTATTAATGTGCAGATATATACTCAGAGCTAGACGATGACTTGGACATTTCAGACAACTCCAGCAGCTCCAGCTCCAGCCCTTTGAAAGAATCTACATTCAGTAAGCATTCTTTACCAGTTGTGGATTCCAGCAGGTAGTAGTTTGGGTGTCAGGTAAATGTCATCCCATACACAACCTAGTGGTTTGTTTCCCAGGAGCAATGCTAATTAGCACAGGTGTGTCATCACTCTGACTGAGCCCCCAAACCAACCAGCACTGTGGTTTTTTGTTGCCTCAGTAGTCAAATCGTACCTCAGTTGCAGGTTAGATCTCTAGCCCCTGTTGGGGCTGGTATGGGAGGCAACCAGCCAAAGTGTCTCTCTCACATCGATGTTTCTCTCTCTCTCTCTTTCTCCCTTCCACTCTCTCTCTAAAAATCAATGGGAAAAATATTCCCGGGTGAGGATTAGAAAAAAAGAACTTGGAGAATAAATAAGAGTGGTATAGACTACGTTTTGTAAAACATTATTTACATTAATGAAAAGGGATGTATTATTCTTAAAACACAAAAGTAACCTAAATAATTTAATTGTTTAGAACTATGAAAAAATATGTTAATTTCACTCTTAATTTGAAACAGTAAAGAAAACAGTCACACTGGGATATGGGAAAGAAAAATAATAGATATATTAAGATAAAATTTAAAGAAGATAAGGAGAGGATTCAGTTCACTCAACAAATCTGAAAGAAAAGATGTTATAATAGAAAATGGAGAGAAAATAAAAACTCTTTTAAAAGAATAAGTTCAGGGGATATTAAATAGGATAGATAGAAATGCTCTCTAAAATAAGTGAAAATAATTCTTACCAATGACTGTGTGACTTCTCACCAATGACTGACTCAAAAAAGAAGGTATAAAATAGTCTCCCTAAGGATAGAATTAGAACCCAAGGGATTTAGTTTCCTTCTTTGTCCCTTTTCAAACTTAATTGGAAAATTTGTGACTAGATGTTTCAAATTTTCCAGGATAATCCCAGTTTCCAACACTTTGCTCTGTTTTCCCCATAAATTTTAGCTTACTAGGGAAAAATGTCTTTAAAATTTAAAAATATGTATTTTTATTGATTTCAGAGAGGAAGGGAGAGGAATAGAGAGATAGAAACATCAATGATGGGAGAGAATCATTAATAGGCTGCCTCCTGAATGCCCCCCTACTGGGGATCGAGCCCACCACCCAGGCATGTGCCCTTGGCCAGAATCAAACCTGGGACCCTTCAGTTTACAGGCCAACACTCTATCCACTGAGCCAAACTGGGGAGGGCCTAGGGAAAATGTCTTGATTTGTAATTGGGAAAATATGAATATTGTACATAAAAATATCCATGCATATAAATATGTGTAGCAGATTCTAGAAGCAGTTATTACTGACTGTTTTAAGATGAATTCAGTGCTGTATATCTCCAGTAACAGTGGCGGGAGGGTCAGTGGGAAAGAAAAAGTTGGACCCTTAAATTTGCATGTGGTAACCTGCAGCTGGCTGTCTTAGCAAAGCTTTTGGATGATTAGGACATAGATGTGTTATTGTTCCTTGTTAGCTATTAATAATGGAGTTTCTTTGCTTAGCACCTTTTCTTAATTAAAAAAAGACTCTAGACAAAACTGTCAGGTAAATATTAATTTGCAACATTATATTTTAGCTGGTGCTCTCATAAATGAAGACAGTCTTTATACTATGTACAATTTCTCAGATAATAGAATGCAGCACACTTTAAACAATCAACCAAACAAATAAATTATTTTTGTTTTTGCAATGGGAAACTATGTAATTATTTTTATTTTCTTGTCCCAGGCATTTTAAAGAGAAGTTTTAGTGCTTCAGGAGGAGAAAGACAATCCCAAATGAGGTATGTTCACATTGAGCTCTTAGAAATATTTTTAGACTGCATAGAGTTGAATTATTGCTGGCTAACTTGAAACCTGATAGCTAGAAGTTACCCTGGGCATATGGAAATGGAGGCTATTAGAGCCCACCCACAGAACTGATGTAGTTTACCAAGCAGCATACTGGGAAGAATGCTAAGCTTAGATCTGGTTTTAGTCTGGCTTTGCGGCCTTCAGCTAATCAGTTCATTTCTTTGAACTCAAGAGTAAGCCAGGAAGGTAGGGCAATTATGCTTTTATGAGATCAACTGGAACCCTGGCAATATATATATATATTTAATTTTTTTTTTCACATCTCTGGAGAATAGGTTTTATCCTCATGTGGCTGGTGGGAAGTGGGAAGGGAAAGGGAGATACGCTCCTTCTTTTAAGCACATGACCCAGATGTGCTCATCCCTTCTGCTCACATACCATTGGCCAGAACTTTATCATATGACCACTTCTAGCTGCAAGGGAGGATGAGTATGTGTGGGGGCTTCTGTTTTTAAAAGGAATAAGGAATAACTAGAAGTTTCTACAACAGTTGATTCCTGGGCTTAGGACTAAAACAAAACTGTTCAATTTGGCCTTCTGCAAGTCCCTGGCTACAGACCTTCCTGAGAGCAGTTTCCGTGGCGTCCGGGGAGGCTGGTGTGAACAGAAGCCTGACCCTGACTGTGGTGGTTTTAGAAGTGACAGAGGAGGGTGTAGAGCAATTGAAGAAAGTGAGGGGAGAGTGGCGAAAGTTAGCTGGTGGGGAATGTCAATGGAAAAGGGCCTTCTAGAATCTTCTGCAGGCTGATTGGGACTGAGGAGAAGCAGACCTTAGAGAGGAGAGATTTAGGATGGAAGAGAAGCGATGGTGGACAGTTTCCCAGTGAGAAAGAGAAGGGGCCTGGGAAAGATGAGGTAACAACCATTTCTCTGTGTCTGAGAAATGGAGGCAAATATAAAATGCAGCTTAGAAAGCAGAGAATTGGGTATTAAGGAAAGTTTTATACTTGGTAGGTTTTGTTTATTAGATGATTGGATGGTCTAGATTTGAGGAATGTGATCAACCAGGGAGAAGCAGATAAACTTTTCTGGATTGATATGGACTATGTTTTTTGTTATCTTGGCTAAATGCCTAGAGTGACATAGTTGGAGCATATGGTAGGTTTATACTTAACTTTTAAAGAAACTGCCGAAGTGTTTTCCAGAGGGGTTGTACACTTTTCATTCCCACTTGGAGAGAGATGAACTTCATGTGTATATTGAGAGGGGGTGAAGCAGATGATAGTGTTTGTGGAAATCATCCTTCAATGTGTGTAGCTCTGAAATGATAAGGCATAAGAGGGAAAATAGAACTCACTGTTCATGTCAAACTCTCACAAAATATTATCTACTTTCAAATAACCGTATGAATAGACATCCTTATTGTAAACGTTTGTTTGATATTTTGTGCCTATCAACAGAGTTAGATAAAAGCTGGGTTAATGTCTGTCAGGAAAAAGCAATTCAAAATTCAATAATTAAGACTTTATTTGAAATTTCCAACTTTAATCATTTTCAGTGATCTAAGTGATGTAAAATCTTCTTCCTTTATTACTATTGCCTCCTTTATTATAAGAATAGGGAATGGGCTTGACTTTTATCAGTTTCTAGCTGGGTTTTATTGCCTCACTCAGTATATATATATATTGATAGTTCTAATTCAATAAGCCATAAAATTATATCTCTTTTTACAAATAAATTATTCTGTATAGTGCAATTTGATAATACACACAGGGGCTTCAGCCTCTTCCATTGTCACGTACACCCCGATCTTGCTAAGCTTTGGACACTGTGTCATGACCTTAAGAACATCAACTGATATTTGTTACTGTGTGCTGATACATAACAGACTATGTCTGGTCTTTTATTGCATTGTCCAGGACACAGTGCACTGCACAGAGGTTCTAGTCTACAAATACCTGTAATTAATAGTTGCATGATTTTTATCTTGGCAGAAATTCTATATTTCTCACTATAATAGGACTGAAATCTCACCTATTGGCTTGAACTTACAGCCTTTGCCATAGTCACAGCCTAAGGCCCCATTCCCTCTTTTCTTTAAGATTCTGTTGCTCAGGCAACAAGATTTTTTCCATGCTTGCTTGTGTCCTGTTGCTAAGGTAACAGGATATAGTTGGCTGGCTAGTTTATAACATCGGATGTTTATGGCAGCAGAGAAGCTTGTGGTTCACAACTTTGATAAATCAGTGAATGCATAATTATGTTCAGGGGTGTGTGCCTGACTCTAGTCTTTGCATATAAAGATGATTATGGGTATTTGTAACCATCCAGTATCATACATGTGGCCAGAAAGGCCCTTTTGTAATCTCAGGAGCTATGGATCTTGCCTCCTTTTTTTTTTTTTTTTTTTTTTGTTAATCCTCACCTGAGGTGATTTTTAGAAATAATAGAAAGGTGGAAGGGAGGGAGAGCAGGGGAGAGGTGGGGAGAGCAAAACATTGATGTTAGAGATACATCAATTCGTTGCCTCCCTCAGGTGCCCTGACTGGGGCTGGATCAAACCTGCAACCCAGGTTTGGTTGGGAATTGAACCCATGACCCTTTCTATGTGGGGATACCCTCTAACCACTGAGCACACCAACCAGGGTTGGGCGTTGCCCTCTTTAAACTTTCTGCGGGCAAAGGCCATTCCTTTTCTTTCTTTATACATCTCCTTATCCCAGGGATAGGGAGAGTACATTATCTCTGCAAGACTGGCAAGATTCATTTATTTTTTAAGGCTCTGGAAACATGGGCTAGAAATGGGACAGAAAAAATAATGGGATCAAGAGAGGGCTGGTTTAGTAGAGAGTTAGGAGGAATGGAAAAGGATAGGGAAGGAACTCACAGTTGGACGTAAAGATTTTAGCTTTATTCTAGTACTTAGAAGTTAGGTGGTAGGTAATGAGTGCCAATTTTGTTATTCCTCACAGCTTAGGCATATGCATATATCAAGATCTCTATGATGAAAATGAATAAGGTAGGGTAAGAGAATCACCAATCATGTTCATTTGAATCCCTATATGAATGCATCACTCCTCAGCAAATGACTATGGGGTGCCTCATACTTGGTTGATGTTGTATTGCATTAAATGGAATTAAATGGAAGTGTGGTTCTTATAACTAGCCAGGGCACAGATTTTTTTAAATTTAATTTAATTTTTAAAAATCCAACTATTAAGAAATGGGGTCTAAATTTTAGTGGAAAAAAGGTTACTTATGACTGTTTTTGGTGGGGTCTTAGACCACCTCCCCTGAGTTGAAGGCGCTGAGACCAACTTTCAGAAGGATCAGAAAATCCAGAATTTTAAGGCAGTGCAAACAAGGGATGTTAATAATACTGGAAACTTTAGGAAAGATATAGTGCTTTTAAATGCAAAAATCATCTTATCTCAAAGGATGAGATAGTTTCTTTTTAAGATATCAGAGACAAAGGGTAGGAAAATAATATATCTAAAAATTAAATATTTCTTTTCCATACAAATCAGCATGTTCATTTTAGTGTAACAAGCAAATCATTCAAGGTGCTAAGGGATTTAGGCTCCTAGACATTAGAGCTGATAAACAAATCTGGCTGGACAAGACTCTTCTATTGCTCAGTGGGTTGTCAGTTATGTTTATTTTCTTCTTTACTGAACTCTTGAGAATGTCTTATGGGGGGAAAACTTTATTTATTTTTAAAATCTAAGCCATAGCAAGGTGCAGGCTTTCAGTAAGTCCTAGTTGAACAAGTCCTTCTAATGGCCCCTCATTCTGTTTTCAGGGACTTCACTGGGGGAGTGGTATCAAGACCAAGACCAGGTAATATAATGTTGGCAGCAATGAACTCATGCATGCCTCCCTGAAATTCAATGTAATGTATGTTACAGTTTCTTATTTTTCCCCCTTTTATTTCTTCAGCTTTGCTGCCTCTTGACCTGCTTCTGAAAGTGCCACCCCTCATGCTCAGAGCCCACATTAAGGAGGTAGAGGCCGAGCAAGTGACGGGGTGGCAGTCCCACAGCCTCCCCACTGTGATCCTCCGCAATCTCAAAGATCATGGTAGTACTTCTTAGATCAAGTTCATGTCAAGCGCACAAAGAGTGAACACAGAATTATAGTTGGGCCTGTAATGTCTGAATGATGCTTGGGAGGTCATTTTAATCTTATTTTGTCTGTCCTTATTTGGCATTTAAAGAGTATCAAAATGCTTTCTGTGTTCACTTATTTGATGTAAATATAGGCTGTTTTTCTCAAATTTGCATTTCTGCCTTGGTGGGAATAGTAACCAGTTGAACTATTGGTGTTTAAAGTGCATACCTACGAGCAAAAAATAGTAGCTATGTTTTACATACAAGTTTCTATAAGCTCTAGACTAATATGATAAGGAGACTAAAAGCACATTTTTCTTTCTCCTTTACTCTGATATATATATATATATATATAGTTCTTTTTAATTATTTGTATTTGATTAAAACAATATAATATATCATATCATATTGTCTTTAATAATTTAATAATTATGATCTTAAAATAAATATAAGTATTTATCATAATGGTTTGGGGGGAGGGGAGAGTTTCTGATTTCTGTTAAAGAGGATCGAAGTACAAAAGTAATGGTAAAATTGTCAGCTAAACCTGGACAGTTCAGGAAAAAAGTTTAGTGACTGTGCTTTTAACATGTGGAGGAGTATCTGACTCGAGTATAAAGTACTGTTTGACTACTTTGGTTTATTTGGAATTACTGCTTAATGCTATTTTTCTTTAACTTCCTCAATTCACGTGTTTTTGTAGTGTTAACATGTATAGTGAACAAAGGTGATATGAACTGATTTCCTGTAATAGTCTATCTCTCTGTATTTAATAAAGACACTTGGAATAGTTATTGAGACCTTAGGGCTATTTACACTGTCAACATAGATACAAAAAAGGATGACTTTGTTATTAGTTATTAAGATGTCCAAAGCTCTCATGTTGACTGTGTTCCTCTATTCCTACTATCTTTGCATAGAGCAAGTTCGTAGCATCATCATGAAGCTAAAACAGTCATTATTGATTAATTTTTTAACAGCAAGAGCAGATCATGCACACACATATGTAAACAACTCACAGTTCTGTTGTTACCCATATAGGGATTCCTTTTCTTAAAGGGCATGCTTCTTTTCCTAAAGGTCAGATTAAGATCTGACTTGATGTCAGTGGAATTGATCAGATCTTTGGACCTTTTTAACACAGTTTATATGTAATATACTGTTTGCTATCCTGTTCAATTTTTTAAAAAATATTCACTGATTCACATATATCTTTTAATTGAAAACAGAATATGGTATAGCATTTGTGAGTGTTGTCAGTGAATGTTAAAGTTTACCCATAAAGGAGATTAATAATATAGAACACATTCATGCATATGACCGTTTGAGTTACAATTTATGGTGGTAGGTGGTAGGTTTCTATTTTCCAATAGAAAAACAATTCTGTATTTTTTCCATCCTAAAATAACTGTTACCAGCCCACCCTCACCTGTAAATCACATCCCTCTCCAGTTATCCGCTCTGTATCTCTAGCCTAACTCAGAGAATAAAAAGGCGGGAGTCAATGTTGCTCTGGTTATACTTTAGGTCTTCGTTACCCAGAATAGGTACAGCATTGAAATGTGAGAATGATTTATTAAAAACAAAACAAGCAGATCATATTAGTATTTCATTTATTTAAAATTTGATTTCGCTTTATTGGATAAAAAGGAACATGCTGGAAATTATGTATAACCAACAACTGCAGCCCTGTATTACCTAAATGTTCTAGAAAAAATTGTCACGGAGGGGATTTATGTCAAAGCCTAAGTATGCCCCCAGGACTATAGCTAGTATGTGAACATCATTTTCTATGAGCTCTGGCAGAACAAAAGGTGAGAAGTATTATTTTAGAATCCCACGTGGATGTGTTGTATTAAGATCCTGCCTACATTGTACTCCAAAAATGTGGACTTCTAGGTCCATATTGTGATGATACAGCAGAATCAAAACTCCTGTAGAACAAATAACTCTGGAACTATTTCAGGTGAACATAATTACAGTGAAAAGTCCTCTACCTCTTTTTTATAACATATATTTATATTGGTTGCAGAGAGGAAGGGAGATGAGAGAGCTAGAAACATCAATCCTGATTGTTGCCTCCTGCATGCTCCACACTGGGGATTGAGCCCCAACCTGAGCATGTGCCCTGACCAGGAATCAAACCATGACCTCCTGGTTCATAAGTCGATGCTCAACCACTGAGCCAAAATGGCTGGGCTTATTCTTTCTTTTTATACTAGATTGTGTAAATGTCTTATAGACTTTCTTTAGTTTAGATAATAGACTATCTTTCTCTGCTAATAGAAATAAAAATTTAGGAATTTCTATATTGCATAGGTGAAAATAGTAACAATAATTAACATGGAATCAATGGATGAACAAAAATGTAAAGCATGTTGATTATCTTAGCTCTGCTTCCCTAACTTTAGTCTTTTATAGATTTTCATTGCACAGCTGACTATACCTGAGTACCATCTGCACTACTATTTTCCTGATATATTGTTTAATTTTTGAAGCATTAAATTTTATTTTAAATTACAGTTTATATTAAATATTATTTTGTATTAGTTTCCAGTGTACAGCATAGTGGTTAGATAATCATATACTTTGCAATGTGTTCCCTTTCTCCCTTCCCTCCTTGATATTTCCAGTGCCCATCTGGCACCATACATAGTTTTGACTGGATTGACACTGATATTTTCTCTCCCATGCTCAGTTTTCATTTTCATCAGCATAGAAGACACTGAATTGATGTATGGAGATTCTTATTTTCTGTTTTGACTAGGAATTGTCACTTCATGAAATCTGGGCTCTTAATTTTGTTCTCTTACTAAATGACAAAGAGTCTATTTTTATACTTATCTTTTACTCATAATGAGCTGATCTAAAGAAAATAGTCAGTTTCCCTCCCATATATTCCAGAGAGTACAGCTAATTCTCTCTTCTAATGAGCAACCATTCAAATTAGTAGCTTACGTTCAAATCAGTCATTCACAATAGGTACTTAATACTAAATTTCACAATTGCCATGATTCTAAGTATATGCCTTCTCTCATTTTGCAATCCTTTTTGCACATAAAAATGTGCTCCCCAGATTTTAATCAAAACTTATAATACTAGTTCATACTATGTGATTTGGCACATAATTATATACTTTCTATATCGCTTGATGGGATTTTGTTGTATTAGCTCTACCTTCCATCCAAATTATAAGCGTCTTTTGTAAAGTTTGCATATATCCAGAGCATTTCCTCTGAGATCAGGCCCTTGAAAACTTACTGAGTGACTGATGCAGACCTAACCCATATACATCCTTGTCTATCCTTGCTATTGGGACCAGCTGCATAGTAATCTTATGATGACATCCAATCTTACATGACATCCATAGTAATCTTATGATTACTTCAAGGATGGAAACAATATTTTAATATTAGATTTTAGATTGTAGAAAGGGTAGATGACATTTCCTTTGCCACCAATAATTTGCTTCTTAATTCTTCCTGCCAAGCAAGGCACTGAAGGCCTATGGACCAGGTCCCCAGAGGCGACCCTGGTTGAGAACTACTGCTATAGAGCCCATCAGAAAACACAGATATTTACATTACAATTCATAACAGTAGCAAAATTACTTAGTTATGAAGTAGCAACGAAAATAATTTTATGGTTGGGGGGCACCAAAACATGAGGAACTGTATTAAAGGGTCACGGCGTTAAAAAGGTTGAGAACCACTGCTTTAGATAGTGAGTTATGTAAATAATTTATGTAAATGCTTTCCCAAACCATATTGGAATGCAAAAGCACAATTGTTAAAGTTATTCTTTAGCAAATGTTCCAGTTTTATTTAATCTATTAATGATGGAACCAGCTGGAGAATAAAAGAGCTGCTTCCAAGAGCATTTAAAGAGCAGGGATTTATATAGTCAGTCAAGAGAGAAAAGCCGAAATAACATTGCTAAATTAAGCACAAAACTGGTGAAATTTCTACAGGGTAATTAAACCATGTGTGTTTGTGATTAACTTCCTGTTTGGCCTATGAAGTCATACCAATAGGTCAGTTTCTGCAGGTAAATCCCTAATGCTATGGGCTGTAAACTGTTATCAGTTGGATTGTTAGTTAAATATACCCGGAAATTACCCAAACGTGTTAGATTAGGATCAAGTGGAGTTATAAAATGATCTAGCATGATGCCAGAGAATTAAGCAATGATCATTTTGCCTAGTCTTTCCATGATTGGGATAAATGATGGAAAAGCTTGGGCTCCAGGCACTGAGCATTTCTCTTGTCCAGGTAATTGAATAGGGTTGGGAGCATCTTTTCTTTCTGTGTGTTTTTTTTTTTTTTTAAATATATTTTATTGATATTTTACAGAGAGGAGGAAGGGAGAGAGATAGAGAGCTAGAAACGTCGATGAGAGAGAAACATCGACCAGCTGCCTCTTGCACACCCCCTACCGGGGATGTGCCCGCAACCAACGTACATGCCCTTGACCGGAATCGAACCCGGGACCTTTCAGTCCGCAGACCGACGCTCTACCACTGAGCCAAACCGGCTTCGGCTGTTTTTTGTTTTTTTTGATTGGTTAGCCCTTGCATTCTCAATGCTGAACATAGTGTGGTTTTCACACCACAATATTTTATTCCTGAGTATCTGGGCTTCATCAATCGAGTTGACTTTCAGAGAAAAAATAGTTCCCTTTAGCAGGAATAAATGAGTCAGCATGGCTTGGTTAGTCATTGTAGCATTGCATAAGCAATAACTAAGTGAGAAGAGTCAAGCTGTATGGACCAGACCAAATGCCTATGTAATTTTTAGTCTAAAAAGTCAGGAATAAAATTTAACTCTATGTTTTCCCAATACCTTAATTGTTATATTGAGCCCCCTTCCAGATATCAGAAAACATGGTCAATTACCCTAAATCTAAATGTCAATGTGTTGGTGATTTCTTGATTATATCAGGTTCAAAGTCAGACCAACCGAGGATTGCCCTTCTCTCTCCTTCCATGGGTGATATTTTGTGCCAAGGATTTAATTGGCATCATGGTACTGGGGCTTGGAGACCACCTGGCTGGTGTCTAATCTGATTATTGAGCGTGGCTACTCTCTTGCACTGGCATCCAGGGAAGTGACACAGCCCCACCTGACTTCCTGTTACAGTCCATGTTTCCACAGTGGCTGTGGAATGAAGGCAAGGCCTTTGTAGGGCAAGCTCTTGCTCTATTGGCTCCCCTTCTCCGGGGGCTGGGGAGGCGAGCCTGACATTTCTGGGCCTGGAGGTTTGAAGTCTCAACAGAGCCTCTTTGACACCCCAGGGAGCTAACCCTGTGGCCCCACCCGACCCATGCCATTGCCGATGGTGCAGGCAAGCTCTGCATGACCAGAGCCTCTCAGAGTTCCCCTTGGGAACCAGCACCCAGTCTTGTCACTCCTGAACCCCCAAACTCAAAGGCAATTCCATCAACCAACTCTTTCCTCCTTTCTGCTCCCACCTAGACTTCGCCTAAGGTGAGCTGCAATTTCTTTTCTCCTTTTCTCTGTATCCTCCCTCCTTACAGAATCTTTATGACATCCAGGAGAGGTGGGAAGATGAGTTTATTCAGCAATTGTTCTTTTGAATCTCTCTTAGACAGATTTTTTTTTTAAGTCCAGGAATGTACTTGCTCTTTTCCTTGGTTCCTCTTTGCCACTCCATCCTGGGGAAATGCTAGTCGCACTCTGCTTGCTCAGCAAAAGGAGTTCATGAGGTGGAAAGAGAGTGTGGGAAATGATACAACAGAAAATTTTCTACACAGCCTCTTGCTATAGTCATGTGTATTGTGTAGTCATTTCTATGAACTTTGACTTTAAAAATCTTGAGGTTATATTTTGCAGAATAACTAAAGACATAGCAAGTTTAGAATTGGGGACTCCCTACCTAGGAGGAGGCAGAGAGGGAGAGAAGGAGGGAGAGAGGGAGGGAGTGAGGGAGGAAGGAAGAGAGAAAAGAGAGAGAGAGAGAGAGAGAGAGAGAGAGAGAGAGAGAGAGAGAGAGAGAGAGAGAGAGAGAGAGAGAGAGAATAAGCCTGAGCAGGATGAAATGCATTATGTCAAGGTGGCTAAGTCAGAATTTAAGAGCCAAGGACTTCAAGCAGCCTTGCTTCTTTGGCCTTTAAATGCTCCTATCTGAAGGTTCAAATGAAAAGGGGTTGAAGGGAGCCTGATCACTCAGAGGGTGAAAGAAGCTGAGGCTTTGAGGTAGCTTACTGCCATTTTGTGGGAAATCTACCAGGTGTGGCTTTAGGGGGACTTGGCCCCATTTACAGAACTCCCTGTTGGTCTCTGATGGGAAGATTCTGTGCCCAAGCTCCCATTCTTCTTCTCTCTCACTTCCCTCCCCCTTTCCACCAGATGTCATTCTCTCTCAGTGACCGGAGCCCAAGCTTCCACAGCCTCCTTGGCTCCTGCTCCCCCAGACAGTCACACATGCCATTCCAAACCAAGCCTCTGACTTCAGCTCTAGGCCTCTTCTCATGAGATCATCTTCCCTGAAATACAGTCTCCCAGATGGCTCCTCGCCATCATATATGGTCTCTGGCTATCTCACAAGCCGTTCCCACACCCCTTCATTGTACTGCACCCTGGATAAACTGGACACTAGCTGCTCTCCAGAGGTGGCCCTACTTAGCTGACTCCTGTCCTTTGCTGGAAATGTTTCTTCTCAGAAGCTCTCAAGTCTACCTTCCCTCACACCAATCCATGTCCTGGCCCATTGAAAGCCTCCTCATTCTTCATGGGCTTCACAAACTAAACCTTTTTATAAACTCTTGGCCCCCCATTCCACAGTTGTTTGGGTGAACCTCCCATGATCCTTTGTTCAACTTCTAAGCACTGGGGTTGGTTGTTGAATATTTGTAGATTTGAATTACAATTCAGTTACTTCATTTCATCTTGCTTAAAAGTAAAGGAAAGAAACGAGAGTGAATCTGTCCATCATACCAAAATGTAAAAGTTTGTATTGTCTTTTAACAGGGAAGTTGGTCCAAAAGAGCAAAGCCTGTGTATGTTTCAGCCCCATTCATAAAGGGAAACTATTTTTCACCTCTTCAGGGAGTTACTTCCTGAAACTTTCTATCCTCCAGTTGTTCAAAAATTGCTGACTCTCAGCAGAGAGAATTCAGGAAAATAGTAGGTTGATACTACATCTTGGTCAACTGGGGGAATGCAGTGTAATCTATCTTTTGCTAAGTGTATAGTAATTTACAGCTTGCATTGTGAACTGTAGTTTTAATAGATTGGATTCATAGTGTAAATCAAGTTTCAAAGCACAGGGATGGGCCATGACTGACCTGGTATTGTAATGTGCCATGACCTAATCAAGCAGAATATAGTGCACTACCTAATGCTTTTTGTGTAAGTAATTAGAATGCATAGTGTTTTCAGTGTACTGATCTGAAAGATTTATTGAGAGAGATTGCTTTAAACTTCTAAATAATGTGGCTAACATTTGCCATTAACTTGGTAGTTATTAATATTTAAATAAGGAATAAAAGTTTTAAAAGGCATCTATTTGAATTTTTATCTCTTTTTGTTTTCCTAAAATTACTAAGAGCCAAATAAGTATACATTTTGGGGTGAGGGGATATAAGAAATTATGAAGATTTGATCACATAAAAAAGAAGGAATAACAGTTCTTATATCCAGAATTAGCCTTAGTTGTTCAGAAAATCAAAAGGGTTTGCAAATGTTATAGCTGGACTCCCTCCTATTATTTCCAGTCTCAAATTTCCTTTTTCTCTCCAACCATAACTCACATCTCAGTAAAATTTCCAGAGTACACCAGGAGTGCTGAATTGTTCATGTGTCCTGCTTTACCATGATACAGCAGCAGCAGTTACCTGAGCAACTGTTCTTGTGGTATCTGAGACTAAACATTACCTTTAATCTAGATGATGGGGTGGGAAATAACTTTAAATTGAAAAAAAAAAGCAGCAGGTTACATGATAATGCTTTTAATATATAAAATGCAATAAACCAATTAGTATTCAGATATGTAAAGAGCACTTACAAATAAATAAGAAAAAATGCACACAAGAGACATAAACAAGAAAATTCACCAAAGAAGTACAATAACCTCATTGCCTTCAGATAAACACATACAAAAAAACTCCTAGAATGCGATTGGTAGAATTGAGAAGTATAATATATAGGGTTGATCAAATTATAGACAAATAGATTTTCTTCTTATCAGAGTGCAAGTTGATTTAGCCACTTTAAAATGTATTGTTAAAATAAGAAATATCTATAGGTGAAGGTCCAACTAATATTTAATTTCTCCTTATCTTCCCTAAAAGACCTTTTGTACTTATGGGCAATGAAGCATGTGTATGTACACTCAATGCAGCATCACTTAGCATCATGAGAAATTGAAAACAAACTCAGTACCCATCATGACAGAGGTGGAGCCCTAGCTGGTTTGGCTCAGTGGATAGAGCATTGGTCTGTGGAATGAAGGGTCTCAGGTTTGAGTTCAGTCAAGGGTACATACTTCTGTTATAGGCTCCTCCCCTGCCCAGGCCCTGGTTGGGACTCATGCAGGAGGCAACCAATCACATCAATCTTTCTCTTTGTTTTCCCCTAAAAATCAATGGAAAAATATCCTCGAGTGAGGATTAACAAAACAAACAAACAAAAAACAAACACAAGACAGAGGTGGCTAAGTAAACTAACTGTGCTGCATGCAGAATGCGCAGTGCTACTCAACAATGGGTCTGAAGAATGAGCCAGAACTCCATGCCAGAATGAGAAAAAAATCAAACAAGCCTGATGATATATCGCCATATATTTTTAAAAAGAAAGAATTCATAAGCTAATGCTATAGATTTTCTACAATAGTAGTTTTCAAAATCTTTTGGCAATAAGAAACACATTTTATGTCTTGAATGAGTGAACTCTTGCTACATGCAATGCACTCTGAAAGTTTTCTATGCTGTTCCACTTCATCCCATTTCATTTTTCAAAATGCTGGTCATGGCCCATTCAACTCATATCAGGATCAACTACAGTCTGAAAAATGCTGTTGTGATGTTAAAGCTTATGTATGTAAATGGATAGAAAAGTGACTTGGCAGCACACCAGGCTGATGTCAGAGGTTACCTCTGGGGAGGAGGCTGATGGGTGGTGGTTCCGGGGGGCCTCCTGCTTCTCTGTAATACTTAGGTTGTTGTTATGTTTGTTTGCTTGTTTTACAAGGGGCATGTGTAATTAAACATTTTTAAATTTATTTTTTAGAGAGGAAGCAATCAAAACTATTTTCCCAAGTCAAGAATTTATTGGAATTGAGGGAGAATAGTCAAAGGTTCTTAAGAAAAAAAAATTGTTTTAAGTTATTGTGCCTAATTGAGTAATTCAGAAGACAGGCATTCTAGCTAACCATCTCTGTTTTTGTATCTAGGGCCACAGATGAGCACATTCTTGTGGCAAGGTAGAGTCAAACCCATGTGACATCCCACTCAAAATGTCATCACAAATCTAAGGACACTCGGCCAGGCCGTGAGATTGTAACTCGTTTCCTAGAAGTATTAAGTCCACATATCAAAAGCATAAAGTGGGCAACATAAAAGTGATCAAGAACTAAGCTGTTTGGTTTCTGAAAATGCAAAGTTAATGTTTCTGTTGCAATATCTACTTGGCCACATTACATGGTGTCTAATTTTTGGTATGGGTCTAGACAAACAGTTGCATTTTAACAATTATTTTGGCAGGAAACCACCACTGTAGAAAATATGGCACAGATACACCCAGTTATCTCTGCAGGCTGTAGCTCAGCTCTGTTTTCTGTTTTAGGACTATCTTCATTCTTTCTGATTTACTTTCACCTTTTTACCCTATGAGTAATTTATTAAACCTCATTCTAATGGTCAAGTAATTGATGCGTAAAAGGAGTTAGACACAGTTCCCAAGGAAGATAGATCCTTTAAATTTTAAACATTTAAACAAAGTATTAAATGCAGATGAACTAGAACTAGATTGCTTCTTGTGTAAATTTCTTAATTAACTCAATGAAGATATCCATGAAAAAAATAATATTTGACACCAACCTAGCCTAAAATTGTGGAAGTAGTGTGGCTCTATGATGAGAATTTGGGAGAAATTATAAATATGTCCTATTGGGGCCTGGACAAAAATCCAGGTGAAAATTATAATTTGTAATAGACAAGAGTCTGAAAGTTACTTAATTTGAACTTTTGTTCTTGGAATTTTTTATTTGGGGGAGGGATTTTTCCACTCTCTGTAAGATTATCTATTTAGTGTTTTTATAAATGAATTTAACACTTAAAAGCATAATATTCTCTTAACTGCACATATCTGAACCCCAGCTTTCCAATGCAAAATTCCAAGAGATAACTGGTCTTTCAAATGTTAGAAAGTAGAAGTCCGAGAAGTAAAAAAAAAAAAAGAACTTGTGTATCCCCTAGTATAAAGCATTGAAGTGTTACAAGGTCCCTACATATTTTCTCATTGGTAGAATGAAGGTCTTTGCTTAACTTTTATTTCAGAATTTTACCCCATTTTCTACAAATAATCACTTTTAAGAGAGATAACCAGGGTCTTGACTAACTGAAAACGTGTCATCCACAGCATCTGCAGGGATCGCTGTGTCCCAGAAGAAAGTCCGTCAGATCAGTGATCCCATTCAGCAGATCTTAATTCAGCTGCACAAAATCATCTACATCACGCAGGTCAGTGTTTTAGCCTTTCATTTCCTCTTCATTGGAATATAAATCTGCTGCTGAAATTGCTTACAGACTTTGTGGAACGTTTAGTTGAGTGAGCACTTGTTTTTATCCTCTCAACTACAAATATCTGGGGACATGATGGCTCAGCAGCAGAGCGAGGAGATAGAATAAAGAAAGCAACTATGGCTGCTTTTCCCTGTCCACCCTGCTCTTTCACTTAGTGCCCAACCCAAACCAAACTTCAGTGCGAATGTGCCCTCCTTGTTGGGGTGAGAGTGAGGACAGAGATGGGCTTTTGACACCAGCTTTACCCTAGGCAGGAAAGAGGAAAATCCTGAAGGTACCAGCTTAAAACCAGGACCTCTCAGAGAAATGAAAACTGTAAGCATAGAAAATCAGGGTTGTGAAAACTCCCTTTTTCTAAACCTCAGTAACTGTTTAAAAATGACCACCAAGTACTTACAGAAATGTGTCTGGCTTGACTGTTCATCTACTAAGGAGAGGAAGAGAAATCTAGAAAATAAAGGAGGAGCAGAGAGGGAAGTCATTGCTTAAAGTCCCGAGGCAGAGCACAAGGGACAGAACAGAAGGGGACCCCCCAGCCTGGGCTGAGGTCTGGACCTCACTGGAAAGATGGGAGAAGTCCACGAAGGTGCTGTTTCCTCAGGGGGGTGGGGTGAGCCACTGATGAGGAGGTGTCCTGCCATGGAGCTTGCTGGAAATCAGCATGCCAGCATGGTGTGATGAGGAGTGCCCTCTACAGGACCTGGAGGGAGGCTGCCCATGAGCAGGTGCCACCTGCAGAGTTGAATCTGGTTGGGGAGACCCCATTGCTTTGACTGCTTCCTGCTAAAGGCCCGGGGGCAAGGCAGGAGCATCCCTGGAAGCAGGGACAAGCTCCGCCCTCCTCCATCTTCCCTTCAGTGCATCCCTTCAGCGCCCTCTCTCAAACAGCTGGACCTGCCAGCTGGGCAGTGAAGGGTGTATTTGGACCTAAGAGGCAATAAATTGATAGCTGGCACGCGTAACCTGGAGAAGGGAGGCAGACATGGGAGACCTTTCTGTGGGATCCCCTCCCACCCCTGGCCCCAATCTACAAGTTCTCAATAGGAGGATGGGGATGGGGGACTTGGTTAATAAATCAAATATAATGTGCCATATCTCTATTGAGTACAGGTATTATATTCAAAATTGTGTTTCTACTTAAATACTGACATATATGGGGAAAGCATTCTTAACTTTAGTATTATGGAAATAGCTTATTGGTGCCTCATTGATTAACTCATAAATTGAGAGAAAATATCCTTTGAAATTTAAATATAGTGTTCATATACCTTTCTTGCTAATTTATATATAATAAAAAACTTTTTAATGGATGTATTCTATAACTTTATTAGATTTCAACCCATTTTAAAGCAAGAATGAAACTATTATGATGATCTTACTATTATACCCTCACACTGCCAGCATAACGAATGGTTTCAAATTTCTTGGCAAGATGGAATTCCTTGCTGTACATTCAGATATAACCATTGTGGTTTTTTAAATTGCATTTCAGGACCCTTTAAAGATTATGATGTTGCATTTAGGAAAGAATGATTCCCCTTTGAGGAACTTTACATTATAGGGATATCTGAAGTCGGTGCCTTTCAAATACAGGAGACAAATACAAGTCTATTATACTATTGAATTTGCTGGAGGTTAAAGACCAAGATCACTCTCTCTCTCTCTCTCTGCTAATTGCAGAGGAAGACTGCTAAAATAAAATGGTATTGACAAGACAAAATGAATCAACAAAAAAAATCTTCTTGTCCACACATTTATTTACTAGTCAAACCCTCAGACTTCGGCTGTGGAGACTGACCGGGATCTCAGGGCCAGCCAGTCCCTCCTTACAGCCAGCAAGTGACCTGACAGAGGAAACGGTTCATTTGTGGCTGGAGGTGGCCTTTTCTCTCCAATTTTCATGGAGACAGATCTGTAGAAATCATCCAAGAGAAACTATTTTAAAAGGCAGGGTGTTAAAATCCTTACCCTGCCTTCACTGATTTGACATGTTTTAATCAACACTGAGATGTAATCTTAAGACCAGAAAGCTGAGAATGAAATCAGTGGTTCATTTCCATCGCTGGAGGCCAAAGTCAATCTCTGGGTATATCAGGTGACCAAGTACATATGTTACCTTTTAGCCTGAGTCCTCTGTGTGTTTTCCCTTAGGTAAGATCTGCCTAGCCAACTTCAGCTTTGGATTTAGCTCTGCATTTAGGGTTTGGTTCTTTTGTTAAATAAATGCTTTGAAAATTAGCATAGAGTTACTTTCAAGAATGAAACATCTGTTTCCCAGAGAACAGACAGGCAGTTTGGCCAGAGCTGCTTTGCATTCTGCATCTCCATCTTATCAACCACAAATGTTGCCAACAGAACAAAACTATCTGGTTGGGAAGAGCACTGTGCCGTCCTCAGATGCAAGTTGCACTACGGGCTGTGAACCATACTGCCTTTCTCCTAAGTGATGATGGTTGGAAAGAGAGCCATCCACACCCCCGCATCTGGATCTCCTGGTTCCTAATGGCGAGAGAGGCAGGTTAAATAGAATTTAGGGTAATGCTGTGTTTTGTTTCTCAAAGGAACTCAGGTTTGCAGGATTTGTAAATTTGAAGAGAAGTCTTACATTTTGTGTATTTATTTTGATGATAATCTTGGAACATTTTACTTTAGCATTTAAAAAAATCCATTAAGCAGTCAAAATAGGGTTTTTATTATGAAAAAGATATTAAGTGACTATCAGATGGAGCCCCACGAACTCCAAATGGCCTGCCTATGTACTCTTGGAGATACTGGAGAATGATGTTCTTTAAAAAGAATCCATATATTTAGCAAGTTTGAGAAAACCTACTATAAAACATACATATCAGATTCCATTTGTTATTTTGTAGTAAAAACAAATGAAAAGCAAACTTTTAGACGTGTGAGTCATTATCTTTTCTAGACTCATTTCCTTCATCAGTAAAATTCAGGCAGCCTATGGGGTTATTGTGATAAAGAAAGAATATGAGGTGTTTATAAATGATAAAGTACCATAGTACAGTATAGCTCGTGATGATGCTATTTGCTCCAGATTATTGGATATGCAAGAGGACTCGCTACCTCAGGAAGCATCCTTGCATGTTATGTTAGGTCTTTAAGGTCCGGTTTCCTCACCTATAAAATAGTACCTGCTTTATAAGTATGTTGTAGGAAAAACATGCCTTACTGCGCATAAAAGAGTAATCAGAGCACCTGGCACATAGAAATCATAGGTTATTCATGTTTTGTACTACAGTTCTTATATATTTTTATGCTTATGTCATCTGCAACTGGGTAAAATTTCAAATTCTTTCCTGAAAACTTTAAAGATGCAGTGCTGTCCAGTGATAGTTATTTCAATAAGATTCAATATCTTTTTTTTTTTTTTAATACCGCCCTGTGTATGAATCTTAGGTTGATGGAATGTTAGCTTACTCAAGAAAGTTTTCATGAGGATTAATTCAAGCCATCAGGAGAAGTAAAACTAATTCTAACTAAAGGCTCATTAAGTTAAATAAATAATAAGGATTTTAAGAGCATCAGAATTAGTAAGTTGATGCTGGTAGCTGCCAGTACTAGGATAAGCCACCTTTAAAGGAATCTATGGCCCACCAATAATTCACATCTTCAAAAGTTTGCCCTAGCAGACAATTAGGTTTATCAGAACAGGCTTTCTAGCCATTCTCTCTGACAGTTGGGACCATGCTGGGCAGTTACTAGACAGTCCCAGGCCAACACTGCCATCTGATGTTAACTTAGGGAAGTGGCAACTTCTGGTGAGTAACTAGGAAATTATCAAATTCAATAGTATCTCACTCAAGGCACTTTCCCCATCTCTTCCACTCTAACCCATCACCCTCTTGCTAGGAAAACATGCATATGCTCTCCTCTTCATAGTATGATGCACTTTAAATTAAATGTACTCACTTTTGCTAGTCTCTCATGCACACAAATATCATTTATACTCATTTCCCTTCCTATCTGTCTTCCAACTGTTTGCTCATTAATGCTGAGAAATCTGCCTCTTTACATTTCTTGAGTTCCCCTTTTCATTAAAGAACAACATTAATTATGACTCTTTGCCTGGGATAGGAAGTAGTAATCCCATCTGGCTCCAGGTAAAACAAGCCACAATATTGACGTAAAGTTAGATCAGCAGAGGTTCAGTGCACTCAACCTATAAAACCTTCCAGGGTACACTGAAGGGCTTCTGAATCTCCCATCTTAATTCTTCCGTAATTAAACTGCTTTGACTCAAGCAAAGTCAAGGATTAACTAGGATTATAGATGCATTTAAAAACTTTTCAATTGCATTATTCTTATTTTATATCATCACCGTGCTCCATAATAGGTCCTATATTCTATTGTGTTTGAACAGTTTTTCTTTGTTATAAAATCAGTGGTTGTGAGCTCCTATAGACCTTATTCAGTGCTCTACTATTTCATATATCTCCCTGTTTTGTGGAACTTTGTATTGTACTTTACAGTTATAGATGTCCATTGTATTAGTCAGGATATGTTAAGTTATGCTGTACTAACAGATGTACCCTGGAGTCTCTTGACTTGTCACAATACAGGTCTACTTCTCACTCAGCTAACATTGGCTGTCTTTCACCTGTGGCTGTGGCATCAGGACTCCAAGCCTCTTGTCCTAGAGGAGGACAGGGAAGGAAGAAGAACATTGGCTTTGCATGGCCTTATTCTTGGAATGACACATGCCATTTTCATTGGTCACAAGTTGTTACATGGCACCAAACTAAAACTGAAAGGGGGGAGGGGTGGAGTAATAATCATCTCTGCCACATTACTCGTCCTTTTGATCTGTGCTCCGTGTGTTTTCTTTTAAATCTTTAGAGTTCCTACTACCACATTTTTCTTCCGATTTAGCCTTTCATTTTTCTTTTTTGTTTTTTCCTCTCCTTGTAAGACCACTTCATATTTCAACAAAACAAATGCCATTTTCACCAGGAGACTCCTTATCCTGTTGACCCTATTTCTTTCCTCTGTTGTCCAGCTCCCAAACTTTACTTTACCCCTCTGTGCTTTTTAGGACCTTTGATTTCCTTGTATAATTCCAACCTGCAAAGTATTAATAAAAAACACAATTTTTTGAAATCCCCATTTTCATCCAATCCCACATTTTCTAAGATTCTGTAGTGACTTCCTACTACTTACTTATTAAACCTAACTCATCCTAGCCTGGCCCTCATGTGTAATAATTCTCTCTCTCTCTCTCTCTCTCTCTCTCTCTCTCTCTCTCTCTCTCTTTCTCTCTCTTCTTTAGAAGCTAATATATCTATATCTATATCTATATCTATCTATCTATCTATCTATCTATCTATCTATCTTATTGATTTCAGAGAGGAAGGAAGAGGGAGAGAGAGATAGAAACATCAATGATGAGAGAGAATCATTAATCAGCTACCTCCTGCACACCCCCAACCAGGGATCAAGCCTGCAACCCAGCATGTGCCCCCAACTGGAATCGAACCTGGGACACTCCAGTCCACAGTTTAGCGCTCTATCCACTGAGCCAAACCAGCCAGGGCCATTCTCTCCTTCTCGATAAGATTGGTCTCTACAGTCTCCAGCTGCATACTCAGAACCACTCACTGGCAGGCATCTGATTATGTGCAGATGCAGATATGTGCTTCCTGGTCCAAAGTATCAGATCCTTCAGGATAAGGCCTTTGTTAGAGTGGAAGCATGGGTTTTGCTTATGAGCATGACCCAGACATCTAAATATCTGATAGAATATATTCTTCCTCGTGAAGTCTATTCTTTACAAAAGTCAACTTATATGTGCAATTAATATAATTTAATTGTTATGTGAAAAATAATATCAGTGCAATGCAAGAACAGTAAGATAAATTAAGCAGCCTTTTGAAAGACAGCAGAGTAATATATTTTTTTCTGGATTATAGAATTAACAATTGTAACATAGACTCATGCTATTTGGAGTACAATTTAAATTCTTATTTAGTCCCGTTGAGCGAATATTGTTACACTGACCCTCAGTAAATGCTTCCCCGGAGTCAGTCAGCTGTGCAGTGTGAACAATTTGCTTATAATGATTGTTTTCTCACTTTATACAGCTTCCTCCGGCGCTGCACCACAATTTGAAAAGAAGAGTCATAGAGAGGTTCAAGAAATCCCTCTTCAGCCAGCAGAGTAACCCTTGTAATTTGAAATCTGAAATTAAAAAGGTATGGTATTCTACATTTAGGAATTCTTCTTTGGCTAATAAAAGTACATCCTTCACGTTGAATTTCCTACCTCCTTTGCCTGCTGCTCTCTCCTCTATTAAAGGGTGTTATTATTTTCTTAGTCCATTCAGGCTGATATAACAGAAATACCATAAATCAAGGAGCTTATGAACAACAGAGATTTATTGCCCACAGTTCAGGAAGCTGGAAGTCCAAGATCAGGGTACCAGCGTGAGGACCCACTTCTAGGTTGTAAACTGTCTACTTCTCATTGCATCCATACAGAGGAGATAGGGGAGCTCATCTAGGCCCTTGTTATAAAGGCATTAAAAAAAAAATAAGAGCACTTGTAGAAGGATTCCATCCTCTGACCTAATTACCTCTCAAAGGTCCCACCTTGTAATACAAGCACCATGGGGATTGGCTTCAACATAGAATTTGGGGGGACATTCAGATTGGCTTAAGACACTAAGTCAAGAACATGTCTTTGCTTCTCATCTTCTCATCTTTATGTCTGAAGTCACTATTCTCAGAAAAATAGCAGAAAGTTCTTTCCATATCATTGCATGTTTTCCTAAGACTAAATATTAGTAAATATTTTTACTCTAAATAGATTTTAATCTTGTTTTAGAGAACTCTATCCCAATTTGTTATTAGAATGTTCTTCAACAAGTCTCTAAATTGAGCATTGCCAGTCTGAGCAAGTCATTGAACCATCTCAACCATGATTTTTATCACCTCTGAGAACCTTACAAATAGACTGAACTATTTGTAAGGTTCCTTCCATCTTCACATTCTACCACCTCCTAGACTTCAGGTGCTAGTAAATATTTCTATTCATACATACAGAAAATAAATCACAATGAGGTCAAGTCGACCAGACAGGAAGAAAAATGTTTGTTTCTGTTTAACAACATGGTGACAGGAAATCCCTTTGTCCTGCTTAAGAGCATTTTAATACAGGCATGGAAATGGTCATAAGCTCCCATACCTATCCCACCTGGGTACAGATCCTTGGTCCCACTCCAATTTCATATAATTTTTTAAAAGTTTCATCAGATTCTGAAACGTTGGCACAGTCATGCTTCTAATGCTATTTTTTAAGGTTTCTTTTTCCTTCAGCGTCTCCAATCTCAGACATAAATGTGCTCATTATTCAAGCAGGACGATGGGCTCTTTGATAAGAAATTCAGACAGTGTATTGGCTTTGTTACCTTGCATCCGTGGTGGCTGCGCATACACACACAGAAGATGGGAAAAAGAACAGGCACAGCAGCAAGTAAACAAAGCCTAAGCCCCACCGCACCAGGGGTTAGAGAGCCAAGTTTCTTCCATGGGCTGTGTTGGCAAATAAGGCCGAGCAACAAAGCCAGGGGAGATCAAAACAGAAGTGAGGGAGACCGCAGATCAATATTTATTTTAACATCTTTCTGTATCATCTCACTCATACCAATAAATAGGTTTTAAAAAAGACAGTAGCTCCCATCTCCCATGAAAACATGAAAAGATTTTTAGATGCTTATTAAAATGATGTACAGAATAACCCTGGCTGTACACAAAACTCATTTGAACAGAAACCCCAGCTTTAAGAGATAAAAGTGCCAGGCACGAGCGGCCTGCTGCACAAAGGTGGCTCGGCTCTTCCCCCTGAAGTAATTTTCCTTCCGTGCGTGTCTTCAAAGCAAATCATTTCCTCTTTGATTACTCAGGTTTTCACGTTTGATCCCTTCCCTGCTGCCTTTTCTCTCCTAATAGAAGAGAGACTTCCTTTCGTTAAATCACACCCCAACCTTATCTGCCTGCTTCTGTATTGTGGCTGCATCTCTCACGAGAGCACCTGCCTCTGTGCTTGGTCTGGGGCAGTGGAAGCAGGGGATGGGTGGGTGGTGGCGGGTGTTCAGGGAGCATGGGTGAGGGGACCCAAAGAGGCATGGATTCACCTTTAATTTCAGCTTGGTTAAGAGGCAGATTAAATTCTTCTGGGAAGAGAACTCCGGTCCCCTCTGCTCTGAGCTTGTGGTGGGTGGCTCACACATCATGGTGTCTACCCTCCTGATCAGTCCATCAGTCCTCATCTCGTAGGTGCTAAAAAGTCTTCATCCTGGGATGTCAAAGTATTTTCTATCCCTCACCACTGAACTGAGAAGCCAAGTTTTCCGTAAAAACCTTCCAGCATTTTCCCTGTCCAGAATTCATCTCCCTTTCCCCATACTTCAGTCCCTTTTCACACATATTGCTGTGTTTTCAGTACCTTGTCATCTGCCTTACTTTCCTGTTTTCCCCAAAGGCAGTAAGAGTATCTTATTCTTCTTTGATTCCCTCAGGGTCTTGCACAGTGCCTGGCACATGGTAGGTGCTTAATATGTAGTTGTTGAACGTAGACTATATTACTATATATCCCGTATAATATATTCTATGTTGGTTCTATATAATGTATTCATATGTGAATATAGAAGGAAACCCTCCTGTCCCACCAGTGGCCTCTGTTCTTCCTCCTTTCTGGCATAATCTCTTGCTAACAATGACTTTTGTTCAGAAATGGATTTTTCTTCCCCTGTACAACCATGGAAGAGTGGCCAATTTGCCTTTGACTGACACAGCCACCCATCAAGGCCCCGGAAGCAGCGAGTTGTGAGGACACATCAAATGCATTTGATTCCCACCTTCCCCTCTGGAACTTCTCCTGAAACTTTGGGACCAGGTCCCTAGTCTGAAGGAGTCGTTATGGGATCACGGTGGCTATGACCCTGTAGGCTACAGAGAGGAATTAAAAATAAATAAATAAAAGGAAAATCACTTTTCTAGCAAATGAAGGTCCTTATTTATAACTCACCTGAGGTGGTCTTCAGTCCAGTGGACTCCACCTTGGCCAGAGCTACAGAGCAATAAAGCATCTGAGTCATTGTGTAGGTATCTGTGGGAACTAGAACTTCCAGTATGGGAGGAAGGAGAAACAAGATAGAAGATATTCACTCAACTTAGAATAGGAAGTATCAATATGAGTGAATATGAATTTAAAGTAAAGCACATGTTTTAAAAAATACAGATATTTTCTAATGTTTTCACTAAAATGGTCTAGAAACTAAACAAACAGCAATGAACTCCCTTAACACTATGTCTTCAGGAATGTAAAAGGATGTAACTATATTTTTTTCCTAAAGTGTAGTGTTTGGCAACATAAAGATTGAAAAACACAAATGGTTTGTGTTTACAGCATCCACAGTGCATTCATGGGATATAAGTTGCTAATATGAAGTGTTTTTATTCAGGAATAAGATGCATAATGCATGCAGAGATACATTTACAGCTCCTTGAACTTTAACAGATGTGGTTCCCCACGTGACTACCACGCACACAGACAGAACTCCCCCAGGAGGCTCCTGCCTGCCCTTTCCTGGCCCTCCCCACAGTGCATTTATTTTCCTGCTTTCTATCTCCATCAGTTAGTCCTGCCTGATTGTGAAAATGTGTATCAGTGAACTTAGATACTGTGTATTGTTTTGCTTCTGGTTCTTTTGCTCAATCCATTTGGTGTGTGTGTCCAGAGTCTGTTCTTTCTCATTGCTTTGAAGAAGTCCATTGGGTAAGCACATCACAACACAAAATCTCTATTTTCCTGCTACCAGGGAACATTAGGGGTGTTTACAGTTTAGGGTTATTGTGAGCAAAAGTGCTATGAACATTCTTATACATTTCTGTTGATGGACAGACATACTCATTTTTTTTTTTTTGTAGCTGCCTAAGAGTGGAATTGCTGAGTCATAGGGGAGGCATATGTTGTTTAAGTTTAATATATACTGTCAACCAGTTTTCCCAAATGATTGAATGTGGTGTATTTTATGTTATGGGTTTTTTGTTGTTGTTAATTCTCACCGAGGATATTTTTCCATTGATTTTTTTAAAGAGAGTGGAAGGGAACGAGAGAGAGATATGTAGAGAAACATGGATGTGAGAGAGACAAATCAATTGGTTGCTTCCCACAGGTACCCTGACTGGGTCCAGCAATTCAGGTATGTGCCCTTGACTGGAATTGAACCCTGGACCCTTCAGTCCACTACCCGACGCTCTATCCACTGAGCCAAACCTGCTTGGGCACTATGATGTATTTTTATTCATTAACAGAGTATGTAACTCCAAGGTAACTACTAATACATGGTCCAAATTGTGCCATATGTTTATTAATAAGAGTCAACATTTTAAAAGTACATTATGTTAGCACAGGCACTAAACCTTGGCCAGTCCACATGCTGGTTGGAATTAGAGGTGAAAGGAGGATAAAAAATGTTTATAGTCAAAAATTTCATTAAAAATTTCAGCTGCAGAGAAGAGCATTAAACAATTGCAGCTTCAATAAATTCTGTCATTTGGTGAATTACTCTTTCCTTTAGAGTGCTGGAATCAATGTGTGGAAATTAAAACTAATTATTAGTTATTCAGGAAAATGTATTCAGAAATGTGTTTGCTTTGGTAGAAAAAAAAGGCCTTGTTCAAAGCAGATACACGGTTGGTGATTTGGGCTAAACATATTGTTCTGTTGAATAATTGAAGTTCATTCCACCTACGCTTGATTAAAAAAACACACAGACCACATTTTGATGTCCCAATCCGTGACATTATTTTTCTATCTATTTTTTATTTTGCTCTCATAAAGCTATAAAGTGTAGAGTTGTTGTTTTTTGTTGTTTTTTTTTTCTTTTCATGTGACCAGGGAATTATCTAACTTGCTCTTTCTGATTTATACCTTATTTTGGAAGGAAGAAGATGTGTGTTTATCTATTTACAAGGGATTGAAATGCACATAACACTAAATTTTCTGTGCAGACGCAGGGAAATGGAAAAGCTCACATAGAGGCCTCCTGCCATTTACGTCTGAGTGTAAAAGATGATGTGGCTTTGCTTTTTCTGTTCCAGTTATCTCAGGGATCTCCAGAACCCATCGAGCCCAACTTTTTCACGGCGGATTATCATTTATTACATCACTCAGCAGGTGGGAACAGTCTGTCCCCAAACGAACCGTCAGGTAATGGTCTCCAACACGGAAAATCTGATGCTAACGGAGAAATATAGTAGCTTTTGGAGCGAGAGCTACCTTTAAAGATTATAATCTTTAATTTAAAAGAAAAATAGAGCTTATTTTGATTGTCTAGGGAAGTAGTTCCAAGGTAAGAATCTAGAAATTCCCTGAGATGTACTTCCCCTGGTTGTGGCAGCTTCTTTATCATTTATTAATACGGTAAACAAACAGCAGAATCCATGTGGTTGAATTATATTTTCTCTTATTTCTTTTTGCTTATCTGGTGATGACAAATCAAGTGCCCAAAACATCCAAGGAGAGAAAAAGCAGAAATGAAGAGTTTGAATATTTAAAATGGAGAAAATTTGAAACTTATATGAAGGATCCACATCAGACATACTTGATTTTTTTCTACTTTTTGCAGAAATCTCATATATATAGCAGAGGGACTAAAGGTACAGGTTCTTACAGATTCTAGACATTGATGCCTAGATTCAAATCTTGGCTCATTCATTTAGTAGCTGATCTTGGGCAAGTTATTTGACCTTTCTGCACCCAGTTGCCTTGCCTATAAAATGGGGATAAAAATGGTACCGATATCACAGAGTTAAAGTGAGGATCCGTGTAAACTCGGAAAAACTGCTTGGTCGTGAGTAAGGGCTCAGCAAATGTTACATTTCTTGTGACATTTGAACTCTCAGAAGTTTTCGAGCTACTTGAGATTTCAGAATTCCTCCATAGTTTTTGAGTCCCTGTAAACAATAATTACATCACTCAGTGGAATGGATTGAAGTCAAGTTTACGGTTAAATGAAGACTTATCATCTCAGCCTAGAAAAATACTCATTTTGGTTGTGTCTTTGTGGTTGCTTTGTATAGGCAAATTATTTCATGTACTAATTATTAAAATTTCCCTAAGTCTTAGAGTCCTGGGATAAAGCTAGTCCGTGTAGGCAGAATTTCACGTGAAATAGATCCCAAGAAATCCATAAGGTAACGATAAACCGTTGTCTAAAGTCATTTGCTTTTCAAAGCATCTCCCAGGCAGGCTAGTCAGTCCACAGGTGACCCTTCTGACAATAGCAGCTCCGTGAACTGAAGAGTCTGGCAGAAGTTTCTCTGTGGCCTGAGAGCCAGAGGACAGATGGGACCAGGACAGCTGAACACCTCGCCCCAGAGCAGACTAGGAATATTCCTTGTTATAGCAGGCTGGGCAAAAGCAAAGACAGCCCATGCTCATACCCCCCTTGACATTCAATCCATTTTTTTTTCTTCTCTCTCCAACTGGCAGGGGAGCCCCAGGGCATCCACATAAGTTAATGTTGAAAGATTTGAGTAGAAACTGGTTGATGTTACTTTGGGTGCCATCAGAGTGGCTTATGGTGTTAGCATTCATACTCAGAACAAACATCAAAACAAGTATTACCCTTTGGCATTAAATGTATAGATTTTATTTCCCTCTAACAGCCATAGGAAAGGGTCAGGTCTTTTACTGTCTATTTCTGCTTCCTTCTAAAAATTGATCTTCTTTCAACACAAATCTATTCTCTACCTAGTGGACTAGGAAGAGTTCAATGAACAGAACACTCACCCATCAGGTAGTTGCAGTTTGGAATCGCTACACACACACACACACACACACACACACACACACACACACACAGTCTCTCTCTCGCTCGCTCGCTAATGATATCCCCTAAATCTTTGTATATTATTATTTTTAAAAATATATATTATTGATTTTTCACAGAGAGGAAGAGAGAGGAATAGAGAGTTAGAAACATTGATTAGAGAGAAACATCTACCAGCTGAGCTGCCTCTTGCAACCTCCTACTGGGGATGTGCCCGCAACCAAGGTACATGCCCTTGACGGGAATCGAACCTGGGACCTTTCAGTCCGCAGGCTGATGCTCTATCCACTGAGCCAAACCGGTTTCGGCATCTTTGTATATTATTTTGTGATGGCTACCTCAAAAGCACCTGTGTATTAAAAAAAGAAAAAGTTCTACTGTCCTTAGCCAGGACTATTTGGAATGTTTGTAAGTACTCATCTTCATCATTGAAAAACTGACCTGATCTCCCTGCAGTTGAGCCATAATTGCCAATAAAGTCTAAGAAAATGTGAACCAAATGTCAGACTTTCCATCATTTATTGCAGGCCTCCCCACCAGCTGTGACTTGGAGGAGGGAATAACATATGAGCAGATGCAGGTGAGGTTTCAGCAGTACCTCTGGATGATTTTATTTTGTTGCTTTTAACTCAATGCTAACCTGATTTTCTTTTTCCAACTTTAGACTGTGATTGAAGAAGTCCTAGAGGAAAGTGGTTATTACAATTTTTCTTCTAATAGGTGAGCTCTAGAGTTTGCTTTCCAATTTGAAATATCATTTGAGATCAGTGGATATTAGATCTGGTTTCTCTATATTTGATTCCAGAAGGCTTTTTCCAACATTTATTTTAAACACTTTTATAAAGTATCTTGTCTCAGACTAGATATACCATTGGTAGAATATATGTTGCTATCTTTTGTACAGATGCAGTATTGTTGAAAAGAAAGAGTGACCACTTAGTAGTAATTTACTCCCATAAAAATATGAACACAGAAAAATGGAAAATCATTTTTAGATTTAAAAAAAATTAATCAGTTGTGTGCTCCATTCCATTAGAGCTGTAATCTCAGATTTCCATCCCTGAAATCTACCCATTGCTTGTATAGGATGCAAGAGGAAAAATGCAGCAAACCAATTACTTCCGGTCACTTTATGTTTGGGAGAGAGGGGCTTGTTGTGATGGGTTGCCATTTGAGTACCCTATACAGGAGCTGTATAGAACCTTCTACTATCACCATTATTGATGCTATAAAAAATATACTCTATATTTTCAGTTTAGACCAGTTCTGGATTCCTGAAGTTTTACTGTTGGACATGGTGTTGGGCACAAAGATTTGAGTACAATTAGTTTATTTAAGAGGCAATTCCAGGAAGCACTGGTAGGGGAAGAGATCATCCAATAGAGGTGAGCTTGATCCCACCAGGGAATCTGAGAGCCTGTGTAGCAGATGGGCCTCACTATTCCTCCAATTTCCATCAGTCATTGTTAGAGGCCTTTCCCCAGGGGACGTTAGTTACCTGGCATCTCTGGCCTTCTGGAAAGCAAACAAAGTCTATTCTACAGGCCAGAGCAACTCTCAAGGAAAAGAAATGCAGATGCTGGCCGTTGGAATCAGGCTGGCATGCTTCGAAGTGGCAAGGATGAAGCAATATGGGCATTGACAGTCTCTACTACACATAAGTTGTCCCTTGATTTTTCCAAGAAGCCACACAGAATATGCATGGATAGTAAGGAACCACATAAACATTATATAATATGTGGCTAACAGTAGCTGTAGGAAGCACAGTCTTATGGAGTTTGCTCTCCCAAAGTGGCCTTTATTTGCTAAGAGGAACTGCCTTCCTTTCTAGCTAGTGAAACTATCTTGTGACATGATTTAAATTATTCAAGAAGTTTTCCCCAAAGATAACTATTAGTAGTCATGGTGAGAGAAAGAGGGCCCAAGAACATCCTGTGAAGGTCATTATTCGGAAATTAGATTCTTTGTGAGGTTTCTTCAGTTGCCAACATTGTTTTTCCTTCTGTTTCACGAGTTGTTCATATGAATCACACATGAGATTATTCATCTATTTGTTCTTTTGGTGTGCAATATATTTCCAAAATACTACCTTCATAAATGTAGTTCTGTTTTGATTTGTAACGGAAATGATGAGTAATTCTCATTTTCCAAGGATATATTGTTAATAGAAATCACCATCTCCATGTTTACTAGCCTTCCCACCATTCCTGGAGAGATTTAATTTTTCACTCTCTACTCCTGGACTGGGAATACGCAGCCTTCCATGGATAGTGTGTATGTCTCTGTTCTTGACTCTCAGCATCTCATTCCAAGTGCTTTGTCTTAAGTGGGGGCAAAAGGAATACCTGTCAGTTTTTAATCTGTATCTTCTCAGAGACTCAGGATCATGGGCAATAACTTTCTTCATATTTTACAGAAAAATATAAATATTAATAGAAAAAACAGGTGTTTAAGGAACTTAGAGAACTTTTTATAAGAGCTAATTTTCCTTTAAAAAAAAAAACAATTTCAGCCTTATTTTGAAAAATTTGCTTAAGTTTTTCAGTTCTATCACATTTTAAATATAAAATCAAACATTATTTCTACTTCCAAATACATATTCCCATATTAAAAGACATTGCAAATTCCATATTATGATGAACAGATAAGATGCTTAATAACAAAGGCAAAAAAATTATTCACATTTGTATTCAGAATTGTGAATAGAATAGGAAGACATGATTTAAATGATCAAGTTTAAGCAGCAAAGATAGGTATGAAATATTCTTAAAAATGCTTTAAATGAAAATGATTCACCCATGTATAAATCCATATAACCATAACACTCCCTTTTCTGCTTTTACTAGCCATGATATAATATATCTTGGGAGAAAGACTCTACAGTTGACTAGTAAAAATAACCCTTGGTTTTGCTTAAAGCCATCACTCGTTTACTGTGTTCCAAATTAATTCCTAAGAAATAATTCAAGTTGTACTTAAAAGAACCCAATACTTTAGAAGCTAAAAATACACATAATTTCAAATACAAATCAAATCAACTGTGACGTAATGATTTTTTTTTATAATCAAAAGATAGAGGATGTTAAATATCATAGAACATGTATAGGTATTTAGAATCAGTAGATTGTGTTTTCCCAAGAACTTTTCAGAGAAAAACTAATATTGCCAGAGATATTAATAGATGTTCCCTGAAAAATAAAATTTTATGACCAAATATATTTGGGAAACTCTAAACATATGATTTTTCATTTGTGAAGAATGTTGACACACATACCATATTAAAGACTCTGAGATGGACTGTAGGAAAGAAATCTGTTGACTTTGTTTAGCCCAGTAATTCCTCAGCTTTTATTGGGAATGCAAGTTGAGAAAAATTGCTCTAGCAATATGATTTGAAATGGAAAACATTGTTTTAACTCCTGTGCCAGGATCTACTCAGATCTGCTATTGTTCTCATTATCTTTATTTTCATCATCATCATCATCATCATCATCATCACAAAATGTTATTAAATTACCATGCACAGAGAATTATACACCTAATTTCTGTTTACAGCTTAAGACTGTCAATTCAAATTTATACACACATCTACAAAGTATCAAGATAGCAACTAAAGCATTAAGCCAAGAGATGACACATTTTCAGCTAGATTAAAGACTTTGTTTAAGGATAGAGAGATGCCACTGGCATCTAGCTATTGACTATCTTTTGGGAAGATTTCTAGAACTATTTAAATAATGAGGGTAAAGCTGGGACAGTTGGTAGAAAGAATCTCTCCGGCACAAAATGCTGCATTAGTTTTTAAAAAATGATAACAGAAACAGAAATAGCAGCAAGAAACCATAACCAAATAGGGGATTCTTCATTTCTGGGCTTCTAGGAAGGGGGGAGGTAGATCTGAGTTGAGAGGAAGAAAGCAGGGTAAAAGAAAATGAAACAAGGTCAAAACAAACTTGACCAGTGCAAAGCATATAATTTCTTGGGTTATATAGTTAGTCACATTTGACACATAAACACTTAACTTTCTTACCAGAAAGATACAGCCTAGCATGCCTTAATGTTCTTATTGTTGTTGTGAGAGTAAAACTGAGTTCTGTAGCAAATAGATGACAAACATATACTTAAATGTAACATTAATATTTTATTTATAATGATAAAATATGTGTTGAGAAATAGGGATATACAAGCTAAAAAGAGATCTACAATGAATTAACTTTCATTGCTCCTCTCCCCCCCATTAACTGATGAATATATAAAATAAATATTTAATGTGCATAGGCATTTAAATGTACAAGCTACTTTGAATAGGTGTTTATTTTTCCACTATACAAGGTTATCAGTTTCAATCTATACTAATAAAAGGGTAATATGCTAATTAGGCCGGATAGACCGGATGTCCTTCTGGACAAAGCCACAGTGGCGGGCCGAGGCAGAGGCAGTTAGGAGTGATCAGGTCAGCAGGGGAGAATGTTTAGAGGTGATCAGGCCAGCAAGGGGAGCAGTTAGGAGTGATCAGGCAAACAGGCAGAAGCGGTTAGGAGCCAATGGTCCCGGATTATGAGAGTGATCAGGTCTAAACCTGCAGTTGGACATCCCCTGAGGGGTCCTGGATTGGAGAGGGTGCAGGCTGGGCTGAGGGATCCCCTCACTTGCACGAATTTCATTCACTGAGCCTCTAGTTGAGTTCATAATTTGACAAAGGTACTGTGTTGGCCCTGAACATTAGCAAAAGGTTGCATTCTAAAAATCTCCTCACTCTATTGTCATTTAGAACCACTTTTTTAAATTTGTGATTTATTTACTTATACACCTGAGCAATTGTTCTGGAAATGGAACATGTAAGCTAAAATATTTGTGACTCTATAGAACTCTTTCCACTTCTGAATTTTCTAGGTATCACTCCTATCCATGGGGGACCAAGAACCACCCAACCAAACGATGAAAATGCTGCACTTTGAATGAACTTGGTTCTCCCAGCGAAGTTCAAGTTCGGGACTTGCGCCATCACTGCAAGATGCCTGAGGACTGGGTGCTGTTAAAAGAGTGTAGAGGAGAAAAGACCACAATGCCATAGTGCTGGCAGGACCTCTTTCTGGAGGTCTGGTTCTAGGCTCTGTGAGGGCTGCAGTGCTTGGAGGCTCAATTCCTGGGATGCAATACACATGGGGCGACAGGGCTCCCAGTGTGCTTCTGGGAGATGATGCTGCAAATTCACCTGCAGGATGAAAACCCACTCCTCACAGAACTTTCCTCCAAGTTAGAAAAAATGAACACCTTGTCATATTTTTCAAAGAAATATTTTATACTTAGAATTGCTAAATTCAGAGACATCTATCTTTCCATGTATACAAAATAGTTTTAGTTAAAGAAAATTATAGGACTCAAAATAATAACATATTGGGTGATTCACTGTACCTCCCATTTTTTTAAATCTTAAAAGATATTTAAAATGTGATTGAACTTTTGTTTGCTTTAATGAAAGGATTGGTTCTCTCTTAACCACTTGGGTGCTAGTGGTCTTGAACCCAGATACAGTGTAGACAGTATTGTAACCTTGCACAGCCTCTGGGAATAATTATCAAATAGTCATATTTAAGTTAGAGTAAGAGAATATATGGATGTACAGTGTGTATATGTACATATGAGTGGGGGCAGAGAGGATTCGGATTAGTCTAATGCTTTGCTGCTAATCAAACTTATAGTGTTTTTAGAGCACTTTGAAGAGTTCATAGAATCTATGAGAGAGATGCAATATTTCTTGTTCTAAGTCCCCCCTTACTAAAATTACATTGTTACAAAATTTTTTATTGTTGAAGATTTGAAATGAATACAAGTTATATAATAAAATCGAAGTTCCTTGATTCATTGAGACATCCCTTAAAAAGAGAAATCAGAATACCAAACAGTGTCCCATTCCTATATAGAAAGAATTTACGATGGAAACTTTCTAGATTTTTATTAGTCTTCAATTGGCTTCTTACAACTTCTATAATGTCAAGAAATGCCCTTATTGTCAAATCAGACTGCACTTCTAACTCCTTAAAGAATATTTTAATGCTATATAGTTAGTAATCTGAAATTAGGCTTTTTGTTTACTTTTCACTGAGTTCTGTTATTTTTATTTACATTGGTGTATTTTTAGCACAATTGAATAAATTTAGTTCAATATATTTATAGTAGTTAAAATACTAACCTTTTGTATAGAATGGGAAAATATTTTAATGTGAATCCATCTTTTTTTTTTTTTTTTTTACAATTAGCATGTTTAATACTTAAACAATATCCAAATTCCCTTTAGCTAATGCCTTTGAAGACTGTCAATGAATTGTTGTCTTTAAGCCAAAGTAATAAAAAATACAGTGCAATTTATAGATTCAGATCTAATTTAAAATCATAGATGTAAATATAGTAATGACAATTTCATTTTCAGCTTTCAAACCAATTCCATCCAAATGTGAAATTAACACGTGAAATCAAAATGCTGTGGTTTGGTTGATTTAAACCAAGCAAAATTTTATTCGATTCCATTTAATTTGAACCTGAATTATTACTTTTCATGTGTTTTTTTTTTTAATATATGGAATGGGCACATTTTTTCATTGTATAGGAGGCATGGGCCTAGAGGGGCAGTACTTAGAAATAAACCAAGCTATGTGGTGAACATTTGAACAATGAAGTTCTTTATCAAATGACAATAGATAGAAAAGAATAGTCTTCAGAGGTCACATGTTAGTTAGAGAAGAGACATTATGTATTGAAGGTGATCTTCAATGCATGCAGTCAATCTCATGAATGAACTGAGCAGACGATTTCCATCTCACACTTTCAGGCCAGAGGAACGGCATGGATTATTAGGAGCCAATAAAAACAAAAATAAGCAAATGTGTGACTTTTTCAGCAGCAGCTTCAGGCCCATCACTGATAAGTGGATTATTTTGCCAAAATAATGAATGTGTGCTGTTTGAATCCCTCCCTCTAACTACCAGTTATTGAATCAACATTCTCCCAGGCAAGAATGAGCCTTTAAGAGGAAGTTAGGTCCTGGTAAAGGAACCACTTTTTTTTTTTTTTTTTTTTGCACGGAGGCACATCCCAGCAGCAAAGTCAACTTTCAAAAGCCTTGTCTTTCAAATTTTATTTAGCTCCATTCCCCCTTACAAGGAAACAAGAAGGATCATTTTGTTTTGACAATTGGAAGTGTCTTCTAGTGCAAAGAAATTGTTACTTGAACTCTAGAGACCTCTTCATCTTTCCTTGATTGCACTTCCAGAATTTCTCTTCCTTTTGTACGAGTTTTAATTATGTGTTGTGTAATGAAATCCCTGTTAATCTGTCTCATGCTCAGTCACTGAATATTTCTGTGGAACAGAAGATGAGTCAGTCTTTTCAGATCACCTTTGTTGCACAGACACTTCAGTGAATTATGTTATGATCCACCAGCTCTATCTGAATATGTATATTTGAAACCTTAGTTTGCTTCTTCAAAAAAAGAAAAAAGATGTTCCTTCTCAGGGAAGTGACTGCAGTAGGCCTATAAGCTTCCTGGTTATTAACCTTCTCTCCTTCTAGATATATTTCATTAAAGATCTTCAGGACATAGTAATATGTGCACTAGACCCAGTGTTCATGGAGGAGTTTCAGAAATCTAGAGAAATGTGGATACTGGTGAAGCAGTGGTCAGTGTGTACAATCTGCTTGGGCATTCTGAAGCGGAACCTCATTAGCAAACACTGTTATAAAGTTTACCCAAATGGTTGAACTGATTAGGAGTTAAGGTCTTCCTAGAGGTACCATCTATGACTTAAGAAATACCATAAGCCAAAGGCAGTTTGGCTCAGTGGTAGAGCGTCAGTCTGCAGACTGAAACGGTCCCAGGTTCGATTCCGGTCAAGGGCATGTACATTGGTTGTGGGCATATCCCCAATAAAATATATATATATATATAAAAGAAATACCATAAATTTTGATGTGCAAAAATATAGGGCTGCTTGATTCTATGCAATTGTAGCAATATCCTTAATCATCATTCATATTTAAGACATGTGGAGGCAACTCTGTCAGTATTAATATACCTAGAATCCACATCCTTTCTTTGATTTGCTAAATTGTGAAATATATTTATGGCTATTCCTTTGTTTGGGATGGCAAGGAACTGAGTACAATTGATATGCTGGATTCCTTTAGAAGTAGGTCCCACTTCTACCTGAAACCAGGAAACGCTTCTTTATAAGCTGCTTTTATTGTCTACCTTTCACTTTTCTAATGTGTTTTCATGAGCACAGGAATCAATTGGAGAGGCAGGCGATGCAGCCGCAGAGGGCGCCTGAGCAAGGGATGCTTGGTGCTTTCAGAGACTGACCTTGACTTTGGGTAAAATTCTGTCCAGACATGCAATTCTTCATGTTTAGCAACTAAATGTTATGGTAAGTGTATTCCATGTCTTTATATCTTCCAGATTGCACACATTGGTGGGCATCATTTTGTATATCTTTTCAATTGAAATGTGCTACTAACTGTATACGTAACTTTGGATGCTGTTTTTCGTGTTGATGGGAAGACTCAAACATTTCAGGAAAAGAACTTCATGATAAATTCTTATTTGTGTTAACTTGCATGTTATAATTATGACCATTATAGTTGATTGCATTCCTGCCATGGTGTTGCTTGAGGTTTGCAAGACAGGAACAGGGAAGAGTTTATAATTTTGATGGGATGGATCAAAATCCAGTTTACATATGCTCAGGGTCAGTGCACAATAGTTGTTTTTGAAAATGAAGATCACATACCCTATAATGATAGCAGCATTATTGTTATGTGACATATAGTAGAGTTTTAACTACATATATGCAGTGATTAATAATATACAAAAATTTAAATACAGTTTATTGCTTTTATCCTAAAATTAATTCTATATTCTCAATTGAAAACTAAAAATTACTCCTCTAAACAGGACAAATTGTCTTTTTTTTTTTTTTTTTTCATGAAGCTCTGCCCTGGGCCCAGAAACTGCATTTAGGATTAGTGGATGTGTGTTATAACAAATATTTGACTTTTTAACTGCTGTCCTTTGAAACTAGCTTACCTTTGTTTTCCTCTGAACAAAGTTTTGTCTTTATAGAAAAATCAGTCATTTTGACAGCTCACCAACAAGTCTGGGTCGATACTCAGAATTGATCTGAGGAGCTCACACATGAAAAATTAGCTGAAGATTTTGCAATCATAGGACAGACTGGTCTCATATAACAGGTAGAGAGAGGTTTGGACGAAGAAACAAACCTAGAGGATCACGTGCTTTATACCCTTAGCACCTTTAAGTCAGAGTGTGAAAGTCACTTTCAGAATGATATTCTTAACCCATGAGTCAGGTCTGCATGTCAAGCACCGCTTGAGTCAGGATTCTGAAAGACAACAGAAGGCTTATCAGTGACAGTTGAATTTGCTTTTCTTGCCCTCCACGTTCTCTGTGTCTGCCTCCTACATCAGTGACTTGTGAAAGGAACACGGCTGGCTTGGGGATAGCTCATGACAGGAATGAGTATCTGAAGTGTTTGTATGAGTCCAACATTACATCGAGGGGGATGCGTCCATGTAAGTTCTCAGGAGTGAAATCCCAGCTTGTCAAAGATGAAAGATGGATCCCTCACGGACATGGGATGCTCCCCAAATAAACACTATTTTGAGAAGTTGGAGTCCATGTTCAAGGCAAGTAGTTCCCCAGCGCCTGGCATGGCCCTACAGGCTCCTCACAGGTGGTGAGCAGTTGGCAAGGGGCCAGGTAACTCCATGCACTTGACTGACTCATGTTACCCCCAGAGCGCAGTGTCATTGGACTGTGGTCTCTGAGCTCTCGCCAGTCAGGTGGTCCCAGAGTGGCCTCCTGAGGCTCCCAGGAACTTGGTCAAATCCCTAGAACAGGGTCCATGTGAAGCAGGAAACACCTCA